GATACCTCCGTCTCCTCCTTGTCTGAGCTCGCCACATTGGTGTCAGAAGTGGGATGATGGTGGCACCCATGTTCTGACCCGAGTGACTTTTACCCGCCGGTCGTGACGGCGGTGCGCCAAAGAAGGCACTGGACATTTGCAGGACTTTGTGGGGTAATGGGGTCGTCGGGACGACTGACCCTTAGGTGGGGGCTATGTAGCGGGTCAGGGCTGTTCGGGGTTCTGTTTGTACAGTTATGTTTGTTTATGTTGCCATAGTGACGGGTGACGCCCTCTCGCTGCGACGGTGTGTCCTTCCGGGGTCAGAGGGCGCCCTGTGTGGTGGTGGTGGTGTTGTTGTTGTTGCTGTGCTGTTGCCGCGCTGAGCAGTTAGCTAGCGGCAGTGTTCTTCTGCAGATGTCAATAAACGGCTGTGCTCCCTGGCTAGCTCACGGGAAGCAAGACCAAACGATACCTCCGTCTCCTCCTTGTCTGAGCTTGCCACAATATTTTAGTTCTGCTGAGCCAAATAAGACAGGTCAGGGTGAAGAAGTGACAGCCAAAGAAAAACTTACCACAAAACGGAAAAGTTATGACAAATCAGACTATAAGGCAAAAAGAAAGTGCAGCTTTATGGTTGCATGGACAAAATAATTTCTGTGGCTGCAATATGACAAGCGAAATAACCAGGGCTGCACATAAGTGGTCCGCAGGTGCGCATTCGCTGTCAAAATAAAAAACGGGCACAAGATATGAAGTTGCAACGCGTGTTTGCATACATAAGATTTTCAGGAGGAGGACAGACATTTATTTAGAACTCTTAAAGATGTCGAAGAAGCAAGCTCCTTTAAGCAATTACTGTGATGTTCCTCCACCTCCAAAGAAATGTCAGAAGGAGTCCGAACCACAAAAGAAGCACGTATTCTCGGAAAAGTAGTTGCAGGAGGTGAGCTGGCTTCAAACAAATGATGAACGCACAGAGATGTGGTGCGGACCCAGATAGCAAGGAGACATTGAACAGATGTTGATTTTCCATCTGAACCATCAGAATCGTCAGGATTGAAATGTCAACACAAAACCAATATTGAAACAACATTGAAATACTGATGAAACCTTACACTGACATTGAAATAACATTGATTCACTGTTGTTCTGTCATCGTTGATTGTTGATCTATTTATAGTTGACAAGGTGACAACAATCACGTTGAAAAACCATCGATTTATGGTTGAGCGGGAAATTAAAGCTGCTACCACTTGGACTATTCCGCAGCACCCCTATCACATTGGTACATCCCTCCAGGTAACCATTGTCTTGTACAGTAGAGCGGGACATTAGATTTACTCTCAGCGGAATTGACCGGAGAAGAATGTGCCGTGAAAATTTAATAAATGACAAATTAAAAAGGCATGAACATTTTTTTTGTATCGAAAAAATATCGAACCGTGACACCAAAGTATCGAACCGAACCGTGAATTTTGTGTATTGTTGCACCCCTACTATCTAGCATAAAACTGGATGAGAATGTGCAAAGGAGATGGTAGTGGGCACATGAACCACAGAACATGCATAGAGAAGCTTCCCCTTTGTTTATTTGAGAAGTCCCGCAATTGTGATGATCACAACAATGGGCTACAGTGTTACTGCATCTATCCATCTATGATATTCAGGGATTTCTATTGATATATGACTGACTATTTTGCATGTGCCAACAAGCATTAATGATAAAAGGAGGGAACTAGTTTATTAAACTATGACTTCAAGTGGCCCATGTCAGATACTGTAATGTTTGATTTCAGCTTGATTTGATTCAATTTAATTAAATTCAGTTAAATAGGACCAATTCATAGGAACAATCTTGTCAAAGCATTTTATAGTGTTGGGTAAAGATACTCTATTATTAGAGAAAGAAACACAAATACAAAAAGTTTTCAAGTGAATTAAAAGTCAGTCTAGGTGTCACGGTTCTGGGTCCGTTGGACCCAGTTTTTTGAGTTTATTATGTTTTGGTTTATTTTTGCATTATGGATTGTTTTCTGATGTTCTGGTGCTTTGTTTATTATTATCATTATAGATCTGTTTCTGTTATTCTTGGTGAGGGATTAGTTCTTAGGTTTTGGGTTCTCATGTGTATTGCAGTTCTGTTCAGTGTCTAGTCTGTCTCTCAGTTTCATGTCTGCATCTTGTTTAGTACTACTGCCATCAGAATTTCGGCCTCAAGTGCTGTAAAATACATTGACCGCGCCTTCTTTCCCTCCGTCTCCATGGTGACTCGCTTAATCTGTGCTCCACTAATCAGGGCTTTATGTATCCTCGTGCGTGCGCTTAACTTGGGGTTAAAGCAACTCCGCGTTGATTGAACTAATTGTTATCAGCCTTTCTGAAACCGAATATTCCGAGTTGGACAGTTCGGGGTTACTCAACCCTGAGTATCGTTTTTCACTCTGAGTTTTCTAAACCGGCTTCCTGAAATAGGGCCCTGGTGTTTCCAATCAAATAAAGACTCAACAGAGAACACCCATATGGAAAAGAAATAGTAAAAACTTATGTGATTACTCATGAAAGTGGCCACTTTCTCATTACTTTCATACATTGTTTTAGTAAGTATCCAAAACATACAAGTTTTATTATATAATTTTTCAAGGGATCTTATATCTGTTTTCACTCTTATATGCTTCTCATACAAGTTTCACAAAAGACAGATACAAAATTTATAAGATTTATATATATCTTTTCCATATGGGCAATGATGTTGAATACCTGTGTCCACAACTAAAAATGGCAAAAAAAACATAACACAGGATAGGATAAACGGCGTATAAAGAAAAAAAAAACACTGCAAAGGAGACTTGAAAATTATATAGATTGTATTATATTTCCAAAAATATATGTACAGTCTATTACAAAGGTTACAAAGCAAAAAGAATTGTCTATGTAACAAGAAACTGTCTAATTAAATGATCTTACAGTTCTGCTTTTGGGGAAAATACTTTTGACCAGTGAATATTCTCAGTACTCTGATCACAGAAAAATAAATAATGAATCAACATTTATATTACTGTACAATAAACTAGAAGGCAAAATCAAAACAGTCAAAGGAAAGATGGGAATCCTATTAGCTGTCTTTGGTCCTAAATGAACAAAATATGTACAACTGAAATCTTGTGGGTGACAATAGTTCATCTGTGAAATAGAAAAATATAGTGCATTTTCAATGTATCCAGAGCTCTCTACTGAGTAATATGTGTAAAAAGTAAAAAAAAAAAAAAAAAAAAAAAAACCCAAAGAAAATCAATATAAATAAAATGTACAAGTTTTACAATTAGACCATATACAAAGATGTCCTCAAACCCCAGCTCTTTCTCAAACAGTTGACAGTGCTGCACTCTTTGGAAGCATCCACCACCTTGCCAAAGTGGAGAAACAAATTTCCAACTGCTGAACCACAAGATTTAAAAAATATGTTTGTATTCTATCTGCTACTCCTAAATTTCAGCCAGCACTCTATACCCTGCAGGTTCCTTTTATTTTATTTTATTTTTTGCCTTTTTTCATTTAAACTTTTTTTTTCTCCATGAAACAGAGTCACAACTAAACTTTTTTTCTCCTGTTTTTTCCAGAGTTGAGCAACCTGAAGTTCAGCATGATTCAAGTTGAAACATTGTATTGATTGCATCCTGGCCTTAATCTCAGTTTGGCTCAAACTGCTGTCTTCCCAGAACAGAAAGAAAAGAGGGACAGAGGCATCCTACAGTAGGTGTGAGGGGCCTTCTCCAGGGGTCTGCTTTGAAAATCAGAGCAGGGTGTAGGGAGTTGATGGTGAGAGACAGAGCGCTGCCTGTGAACTGGGGAGTTTTGTGCTGACTGAATGACTTTATGCCAGTATTCAATTCAAAGGCCCAATTGCTGAGGTCTGCTGTATGGATAAAGGGAGGTTGTGTATGACATAATGGGCTGGTCAGGGCTAATTTTGGGCGTCTCATCCCAAGATGAATCCCACTGTGAAAATGGATTTAAACAGTGCATCCACACTAAGCCAGATGACGTTGTTCATTTTAGGACAAAACTGCATGTTTTTCAAACTGAGAAGGAATTTTCATCCACACAAGCATGGTTTAAATATGTCAAACTAACAGGTGGCAATACAGCAAACGGTTGAGAAAGTACAGAAAAAATGTGACTTTGAAATGACTTAATTGATTACAGAAGCTGAAGTTCTAAACCCTGTGTGTTGTCCATTGTCAAGACTATATCTTAGCCTTTTTTGGTGAGGCTCAGGATTCAATAATGTCTGTGGAGGCCTTTTTTGTTGTCTTTTCTAGATTTTTGAACCAATTTCAGTCACAGGCTTAGGGTGGACAAAAGGTAAAAAAAGAACCCTTTTTTAGTGCTTGTGGCCCAATGTGGACATTTCAAAGATGACAGAGGAAAAAATGAAGAAAGCTTCAGTTGGTTTTACTGGCTGTTAGCGAGCTCCAGGTTGATTCCTGATTTGGTTGTACTTTTTTCTATGGTGAGAAAATAAGTAAAGCTTTGAAAACACAGAGTTATGTTTAAGGTCGCAGCAGCAGTGAGAGAAGAACACCACTTCCCTTTATGTGACAGCTGAATACCTACATTTTCGTATCAAAGGACAGTGCAGTAAAACAAATTCAACATTGAAACTTTTCCTTTTTTTGGGAGTCTTTTTTGTTTGTTTGTTTGTTTTTGAAGTGGAGACAGATGGCACCAAATAGGTTGATTGGCTTTTAGCACATCCTCTGCACAGCCCCCTCTTCTCTGTTCTCCATAGAAAGCCATATGGAAGAAAAGAAGAGGAATCTTAAGAAACACTTTAATGCATGTTCTGTCACATCTGCTCCTGTGAGTGATGAGCTGCAAAGACGCATGAATAAACAAGGAGGCTGCATGGCTGCCTGCAGAGCCGGGACGGAGGGATTTAACAACACAGTCCGTGTCTGAGAGGAGCTCCATGGTTTGGTCTGGCATTTTCATACCTAGACCCTGAAGGGGCTTGTTGATTTTTTTTTTTTTTTGTTAGAAAATGATGTCAGCATGGCTAATTGGCACCATTTAAGTGTTTTATCTCTGCAGTCACTCAATTCAACATTTTCATGCCACGTTAGAGTCTCATCACATGTTTAACATATCATAGCGGCAAAATACAACATGATTATTTCATTTGATGAGTTGGCATGGTATTTTTTCCAAACCATTTCAGGTCAAAGAGGTACATTTGTTTCCTTTTGCAGCAGTGACTGAATCTTTCCAAAGGTTTTGTCTCAGAATAGCACACCCATGCTTTCTATGTCATCTAGCACCTTAAAAAGTCCCAGTCGAGGACAATTTCTACCTGGTAATTATTGCTCTTTTTAGTCCAACTCTTTCTCACTGACTGTGTCACTTGTGGCATAAAACAGAGTCTGTGCACACAAGTTCAAGATAAAAAGACATCATGCTAAAAACAAACACACAAAAAAAGGAAGTAGTACAACACTGAAATGAGCCACAGAAAGCAATGCCATTGAAGTGCCTAAAATAGTGGCAATACTTAAACACATTTTAAGGCAGTATTACGTCTCGTCAATTCTTGAACGCACTCGCAGCTAAACAATTCTTCAAAACAACCACTATGTAAAACATTTTAGGCAAAATGATGGCAAAGCACAGCTGCAACTCCAATACAATCTTTCAAACGTGCTGACACATTCTACTCAACAACCAAGTGTATCCCATAGTGAACACTAAGGGAAGGATAGATGAAGGATATTGCTACTCTGATAGAAAAAAATTCTGGTGATTTAAAGAACAGTTTGCTTCCTGCATCTCCATCTGTGCTGCACTCATCAGAAAATTGTTTGCTAAAAAATGCTGAAAATTTGAAACCAGGTCAAGAACCCACTCCAACAGGCTGCAAAACAAGCGTGTGAGGATAATATTTTCACTTCAACAGCACATGAAGGAAAACAAAAGTCATTGCAAACAGTCCAGTACAAAAAGTACTTTGAAATCTGCACCTAAAAAGTTCTGTCTCTGTTTGGATAAAAGAGTTACCCTGTTGTCACATCCAAAGAGGAGAGGAAAAAGAACTTTTATATGTGCCAAAACGTGTCATCGTGGCAGACACAAAGAAAAACGAAAAAAAACAAACAACTAAAACCGCTTCAAGGTGTTGTAGTTCGTATAAAGGAAATCCTTAGACAACGTGTGCACATAAAGAGAAATATAAGCGGCAAACTCCTTTCCAATGCGCTGTTTGATATGTGGTTTAGTTTGTACGCGCTTCTACAAAAAGAAGGGAAAAATACATTTGTCTCATCCAGGTAGTTTCTTTTTTGTTGCCGTTTTTTGCCCTTTTCCTCTCTTTAGTGCCCTTTAAAGAGGCGGACCACAATCATTCACTGAGAAACAAAGGAATGATTTCACTCCAGGCACAGCCAGAAGAGTCAGACATCATACGTCTGTTTGCTTTGACAATTATTCCATTTATGTCCCAAGTCAAGTTTTGTTCTCGCCCTCTCCGAAGGCAGCCTGTCAGAGATCGTCACACCTGGACACCTGTGCCGTGGAGGTGCAGCATCTGGGCTCTCATAGTCTGTATGCTGCTCATGATCTTTTTCTGATGGCCCACCAGAGTGATCCCCAAGCTCATCACATCCCTGGAAAAGAGGACAACATTATGAGTCAGTGCACCATCACAGCCTCAGCTTTTCCATTATTGTGAGTATACAGCTAAACACAGCAGGCTTGTTTATGAATCTTAATAATGAATTTTCACAAGGTGAGATAGCAAAACCCATAATCTAAAGTAGTCTTTTTTTTTCCCCCTTTGGGAAGTTTGGAGCTCTTTTTATCGAAATATACTTGGTAATGAGTTTATCAAGATCACAGGTAAACAATATGGAAACAAAAAAATAGGCTTATTCCCAAGACAATGTGGTTCAGAAAAAGAACTGTTTTTTCTTGGTGAAATAAAAGCTAGTATTAGCCACTTTATGGTGGGTTACAGAAACTCAAAACACATTCTAGCAACAATTCTACTTCTGAATACAGCTGAAGCTTTTACTCAAGGACAAGTAATAAAGTGTAGAGGAGAGCACAGTTTAAGCATAGTTGGTTTTAATGTTCCCTACTAATGCTTAAACCCCTTCGGGTTTCCTATCTACTCACTCGATTGACATCCTGGCCACAGATTCCAAGGAACTGTAGCCAGCTGCTGTGAAGTTGTCTCTGTATCGCTCCATCTTGATGGCTTCCAGCCACTCTCCCACTGAGCGGAAAGAAGTGAAGTCTGGTGTGCTCTGATCTAACAGGGGACTAATTGGTCTGTGGGATGAGCACAGAAAAATGGTTAAGTCTTATGCAAAAAGGAAACGTTAGGCTGAAAACACAATCAAACAAGAGATGAGACAGAGCGGTGACCAAAGGCATCCAGCAGTGCGGTAAATTATAAGCAGGGGAAAAACTTGCTGATTGGAGGCTTTGGTCGATAAGAATATCACAAATAGATGTTGCATTCCATGCTCTGCTTCTGAAAAATGTTTTTGTCAATATCCTTTCGATTTGAATACATTCCCAGGAACATACCCCGTACAGTCTCTGTACAGAAAATGCTTTTTAACCAGTTATAACCTCTGAGCCTCATCTCACAGTGGAAAGCATGTTCTGACTGCGAGAAGAATTCATTTGACAAACGTCAGAGTGAGCTCCGGAGTTCCCACTGCACTCCAAAGTACTAGAAACTCATTATAGAGATTGATTTAAAAGCCCTGCTATTGACCATAAAGGCATGAAAGCTGCTTTGGGCTATCGATCCCCTTGGATTTATCTTTCATCTTTGAACTTGAGAGGCTAAATCATCCACTGGACACTCTAGATCATCTACCAGTGTGATAAGTTGAAGTTCTATAGCTTATGAAGCCTACATTTTATAATAAATCATTAGGGGTCTTATTTCCATACCTTGTACACGTTCCCACTGGGGTTTTCAGTGTGTTAGGGTTACGTATCATCTTATCAAGGATGCCAACTATTTGATCAAATTTGGGGCGTTCGGCTCGGTCTTTCTGCCAGCAGTCCAGCATTAGCTGATGTAAACCCGGCGGACAGTCCATGGGGGCTGGAAGACGGTATCCTTCCTCTATTGCCTTAATGACCTGTAAAATTTAAAACAGACGAAGAAAGTAGCATCAGCCTTTGGTATCATCCTAAATCCAAACAAAAAACAAAAAACCTCTAACCCATACCTCAAACCCTTCAGTCTCAGCCTAGCTTTTTGCCATTTAACACCAGCTTTTAGCATCAACCTAATCCCAACCTCCTGCCCTGTACTCTCACTAACAGCGTTGACTATCATTTGAAACCCTTCAGAGTCCAGTTTTAGTTTCACGTTAACTCTAAACCCTAACCCACAACCCTTTAGCATTAGTCTATAGTATAATATTACCACAAGCCAAGCTCACTAAGCTCTTGGTATATAGCAGTATTGTACCTTAATTATGTCATGGTTACCTAAAACACTTAGACCTGAGAAAAAATTGTCTATCATGTGCCAGCTTTGTTACAGTCAATGGGATCATGAGGATTTAATGCAGAACTATTTAGAGTAGCTATAAGCAGCATCATTCTGCTATATAACCTCTTTCTGGAATGGTTAATGATCTCAAATTCTATCTGTGGCCAAGTGTTTTCAATTTATGTGCAGAAGATTGTCACCCAGCTTGAGAGCTAAGATACCGTAAACTTAAAGCAAAGATTTTTAAAGCAATGGGCATCTTGTAGATAGACTTGACCTTTACCAAATTTGCTACATAATTAGTATGTGTATTACTAAGAGATATTTGCATGTAACTTTTTGTAGGACCTGGGATATCTTGGCCTTTAAAGCATCAATGAAGATTATCTTTATTTCAGTCTGTCTCCCCCTCGACTTTATGGAAGTGTAATACTAAACTCACTAATTACCCACTGAATAAAGTTGGCCTTATCTTGGTCACATTTTTTACCAGTTTGAACTGAAATCTATGGACACAATGGCACCCATACTAAACAACTATTTAATGTATAATTCAAGCACACACACAGATTGGGTTTAGATTAGGGTGGGTGGGGAGTGCTGGATAATTTTATTCAACTCATGAGTACTATTCCTCATATGTCTAAACAAAGACCTCTTGTACAGTATATACCAATAAACAGAAAAGAACTTCTGCAACGTTTTTTGACCTAATTTACACATATCGTTTTATGCAGAGTTAATAAAAATTCAAGGTTTTTAAAAATTGTAGGTGCAACAGGAACATTATGCAACAAGCTCTCCTTCCTTTAATGTGTTGAGATGTTTATATCTCTGCATATATTCATCAGCTATTCTTGTCAGGACTGCTTAGACAAGAATGAGTCATGGAGGGAACCAGTGTCAAAACACTGAAACCGTTGGGAAAAATGCAAATAATGTTCTTCCTGTATCCCTGGAGGATGTTTGCTGACATCTTGACAAAGTGAAAAAATTTCTGACATTGATGTCTGTCAAGCAGCAGACGGTCAAAACACCACATATCCCACTTTCACGGCCAACCATCTTGTTTAGCATTTCTAACATCTGATTGTTCAATCAGCAGGCCTCTGCTTTGGAACGCAGGAGAATATTAATCATATTTAGCTACGATGCTGTGGGTGCTAAAACAGGAAGCCATATAGGAATCTTAAAGCCAGAACTCACTCGCCTTTCACTATCAATCAAAATGTGTCAAGTGTCTGAGAATAAGGAACAGCTTCAAATGGTCTGGCACTGTTGGATTATCTCAGTGGGAGTTGGCAGGAAAGAAGGCAACAGCACTCAGAGAGCTGCGGGTGAGTCAGTCATTATAGCAATTTGTGACATTTGTAAAGTGAAGAGCGGGATTGAAAAAAACCCCACATTTGTTCATAAAGGTAGAAAAATGTGGGTAATGTCCAGAGTCAGGAAGATGACTTTGAATTTACTTGATGGTGAGGCTGCAAGATGGGTAAAAGAATGAATCATGATTACAAGTCTGTGGTTCATGAGTCAAGTAAGTGGTATTCCTCTGCACTTTAAAAACACATGTGTTAGGAGTACCCTACAGAGCTTTGCGATCTTTAGCTCTGAGACACTGAGTTGAATTACATTAGCCTTTGTTTTAGACTGCAGTTCTTGTGGCTTCAGCACAGGGAAATCTTTTTACTCTACTTCCTCTTTTACTTTGGGATGCTTACAAATGTGTTTATGTTCACATTTATTTGATTTAAAAAAAGGTACAGTGATCATTTAGTAATTAATGAGGACACTAGTGCATCATATAAATGTGCTTTGATTTAACCTTATAGGTTAATTTTCATCAGTTTTTCCTGGTTGCTCCATAACATTTGAAACATTCAAAGGAAACTTAGATGGGAAAGTATTTCTGCTTGGATTAAAAAACTTAAACAAATAAGGGTCAAAAATAATTACATAACATAACATAACAATTACAAACAAACATTAACTACATTACAAAGTTCAGAAGAACAGTCAAAACCACATTATTAGAATACGAAGTGATTGATAAACAGGCACTACTTCAGGTTATGAAAGCACACTTGACTGTCCAGCAGCAGCTGTTTTACGCATTTGATGTTGCTGTTCCTTAGTTCCTTTTGTCACCGTGTTCTAGGCATACACTGATCTACGAAGCTTGGAAAGAAAAGCGTCCGGACTTCTTTAGGTTTCTTGAAGACGTTTGATGTTTCATCTGAGAACAGTCTTCAGTTCTAAGAGCAAATGGTGGAGAGTCCCAGATTTTAAGCCCTATGGGAGTGTATGCCAAGAAGGTCACGGACCCCCCCCGTCTTCAAGAAACTTAAAGAAGTCCAGACGCTTTTCTTTCCAAGCTCCTTAGACTACGATGACCTGGATGACTGAGAACCTTCATAGACATAGGCATGCACTGCTTGATGAGAAAAGGCCGGCTTAGTGGTTGTTATATTCCATTGCATTAACTTTTTATCTAAAAATCATGGCGTCAATAGATAAATTGATCCTTAATTGATCTTGTGTAAGTGTATTCACAAGTTTTAAAACTTGTGTAGTATTGACTGCCAGAGTCACAGACACTCAATGTCTGGGGTGACAAGGTACTAAACCCTGAGTTGCTCATGACTGGAGTGTGAGCAGGTGATAGATGTAGAAAGACCATGCTTACTTGAATGAGACATGTTATATAAAGCACATTGAGTGCTTAAGTCGAGTAGAAAAGTGCTATATAAGAATCAGTGTGTGTTGTGAATTTATTATTATGCCAATATTTTTCTATTCACTCACTAATAAGTCATCATCTTACTACAAAAACTAACTTACAGAGTTTGCAGTATAATATAACCAGGGGACTTAGGAAAGCTAGACAGATAACTGATTGTATAACTTCCACCAGGTCACCAGCAAACCACTTAGTTGGTTGGTTCTATTTTAGCCACACACTTCTCAAGTACAGAAGATATTACATTTCAGCTCAGCTCTCTTACTTGAAATTACTTGTTGACACCTACAAGGCACAAACTACCCGAGTATTGCTGCAAAGAGAATACAACAGTTTTCACAGTAGTTGCAATACTGCTGAGATGCATAGGCATTAGGGGTGCAACGATACACAAAATTCACAGTTCGGTTCGGTTCGATACTTTGGTGTCACGGTTCGATATTTTTTCGATACAAAAAAAATGTTCATGCCTTTTTAATTTGTCATTTATTAAAATTATAAATATATATTTTAACTCAAAAGTACAGTTTTTAAATTTAACCCTAACCCTTGTGCGTGTTTTTTATTTTGACAGCGAATGCGCACCTGCGGACCACTTATGTGCAGCCCTGGTTATTTAGCTCGTCATATTGCAGCCACAGAAATTATTTTGTCCATGAAACCATAAAGCTGCACTTTCTTTTTGCCTTATAGTCTGATTTGTCATAACTTCTCCGTTTTGTGGTAAGCTTTTCTTTGGCTGTCACTTCTTCACCCTGACCTGTCTTATTTGGCTCAGCAGAACTAAAATATATATCGTGCTGCTTTTACACACACACTCACATAAGCTCAGCAATTCTCTGCACGATCAACCTCTCACATGTTTAAGCTTGCTGCGGGAGATTTCACTTGTCATGTTTGCATAGTAAGCTAACGATTAATAAGACGATGTCAGAGGAATTGGTGCACAAATTATCATCACTCACAGATCAGTGCTGTCGCTCTCTATACACAGTTCGCACGATTGCAAAGTGAAAGCAAAAAAACAAGCGCAAATTCAAACTGATTTCAATATGTCACATATTGACAGTGGCTCACCAATGCCAATGACATAATTACCCAGCTACATTTCCGAAAGAATGCAAAAGCATTGACATATATTTTTCCTTCCTACAATAGCCCGACGGGCAGGGAAGAGATAGATTTTGGTAGCCCGACTGAAAAAATCGCTAGCCCCGGGACGTCGGGCTAGCGATATTGCAAGCCCTGTATCTGATTGAGGAATCACTCATCTTTGGAAAAGAGAGTTTATTACAGAGAAATGTCTCTTTCCAAAATAAAAGCTATACTATCCGCTTCTTCTGGGCTATATTCTCAGCAGCATAAGGAGAATCATGTGCTAACAGCTGTCTAAATGACTCGGCTAAAGTTAGTAGCATGCTTGTTGTTTTTGTCTTTGCACTAGGATGATGTCGGCGTAAATGTGCAGTCATATTCGTTGTGTTCCCACTAGTGCTTTCAGGTTGATCTCGTTGAAATGACCTTAACGCCACAACACGGCAAATCTCCGTTAACGAGCTACCGCCGATCGCCCCGTGCATGGGGCTAGACGGCCTACACGTTAACGAGCTAACTGCGCTAACACACTAGTTCCCACCCATGTAATTGAGCATTGCATGGCACATCCAACATACTGTTTTACTTTAGTTCATGACTCGCTTACCTTCAGGGTCATACGTCACATGAAAACCAAAATAATTCCAAACGCCAGATCTGAATGTTGCAAGGAGAGCTTAACTTCTGTCTTGCTAGCTTGCCCTGCGCTCTTCCTTCTGACTATGCTGTCTGTGTTGAGCGCTCAGTGGATCTGCGCTCGACAGTGCAGCCTAGGCGGAGTAGTCGAACGCAGATTCACTGAGCGCTCAACACAGACAGCATCGTCAGAAGGAAAGTTGATAAAATAAATTACAAATGTTGTATTGTTCGATACCGAACCGAAAGCACTGTATCGAACGGTTCAATATCGATACGAATATCGTTGCACCCCTAATAGGCATTTATGTTTTTGCAGGAGTTCTTTAAAATTTAAGCAAAGCAAATGTCTTTGCTCTCATTGCTGACTTGTTTGCAGTGTAATTGGTTCAACACTGCTAGTCACATTGGTTCCCATTACCATAAGTCATTATAAACTTTTAAAGACGTTTGAATCAAAAGCATTCTGCATGACAAGTGTTTTCCACTCCTGTTATTTATATTAATAACACTACCAAATCCATGCTCTCAGGGCTTCATTTCAATGCATGTCCCACTTCAGGCTTGTTTCTCCTTCAAATGGATTCAAGCAGCATGATTATAGCAAGACTTCTTGAACTAATTAAGCCCAAGGTTACTGTCATCGCAGAGCTGCTCTCATGAGGATCTTGTAAGAAACCTCAAAAAAGAATTGCGAACCAGAATTTCTGTCTGTGATTTTTTTCAATGTTTTAATGGGAGGACTTTATTAGTCATAATTAAGGGTGAACTTCTGGGGAAATTGTCATACTCTGACAACTCGTGTCTGGCTTCAGATAATATTTTGTGAAATAGTAGTTTTCATTCAAGAATCTGATTGGAAGTAATGCACAGACTTCAGTGCACTGAGACCCTTAACACTGGTTTATAATTTGGGTCACTTACATTAATAAGATCTAATTGTGACTATCATTATTATTGTTATTACAAGTGTTGAAACCAGTGAATGTGTTTTCCTGTCAGTCATGTTATGAACGTACATCCAGAAGTAACTTACATCTTGGTTGGACATGTCCCAGTAAGGCCGTTCTCCATACGACATAACCTCCCACATGACAACACCGTAACTCCACACGTCACTTGCAGAGGTGAATTTACGGTACTGAATAGCTTCTGGTGCAGTCCACCGGACAGGGATTTTTCCACCCTGTTCAGTAAAACAGTATCAAACGATTTTTATGCATTTTTCAGTTATATGCAAAAATACACATAAGACACAAAACAGCTTTAGCAGACTTTTACCGACTTTTAGTTATTAGCTATAAGATTTAATAGCTACTAAATCCTTTATCAATGTCATAAAGCTTAGTGTAAATAGTTGGCTGGTCTTGCTCTTTTGCTTCTGAGAACCTTGACGAAAGTGCATCCATTCTTCTTTTTACAATGTAAAAAAATGTAATGCAAACTTAATGTTTTACCATTTTTACTGTTTTGCTGCTCACAAAACCGATATCAGCTGAAAGACTACACACTTGAAGTACTGGCTTGGTATTTTGTGGAGTTGCAATTGAATGTCCATCATATATTCGAACCACCCTAAATATTACATTACACATTTTTATCTTTTTCTTGAGGACATTTCCAGTCCTTCCCTTCACCATAATGCTAATGAGTAAAATCCATTTTTAGTGTTGCCATTTTACAATTTTACAAATTAATCTGATTCACTTTAAGGGTCTCTTGATTATTGAAGAATTCAGGTTGTTCCCTGTTGTGAATTCGCCAGATGGCCACTAATAACAGCATTTAAAATTCCAGACATTTTAATGATTTTCATTTATATAACAATTATAATTGAACTCTAAAGCATTATTAAATATTCGATTTTAATGACTTACACCTTTAAAGCATTCCAAAAGACCGTCCTGTTAGGAAGTTGTGGTAAAATACACAGTTTCACATACTAAAAATGGTGTAGAGTAGGCTGGTGCTCACTCTAACATTCACAAGCAGTGACTTGATTAGAGAATTCAGACAGGGCTCTTGGTGGGGAGAGCAAGTGCTTTAATTGACTCACGGTTGTTGTGTAGACAGCCTCGGGATCGTCGTCTATCACCCTCGACAGGCCGAAGTCAGACACTTTACACACGAGATTGCAGTTGACCAGGATATTCCGTGCAGCCAGATCACGATGGACATATCCCATATCGGAAAGGTATCTCATTCCCGCTGCTATACCCCGCAACATTCCCACCAGCTGGATGACTGTGAACTGGCCATCGTGTTTCTGCATGGCACAGTAAAACACAGACAGGTCAGCCATTTTCACTGACCATGATGGAAATGTAGGTCACAGCACTGCAGCAGCTTCAGCACAAGATTTATGATATTTATGCACTGCACAAATTCTGCTGCAGACTCCCCACTCTCTGAGACACTTTCCAGCAAACTGCAGGGAAAAGTTACAAAAGATGCCGCTCAGAGCCTCCTGCACATCGAAGGTTATACTTACCCTGAGGAAAGCATCTAATGAGCCGTTCTCCATGTACTCGATGACAATCATGACTGGTTTTCCTGGAGAAATAAAAAAGAAAGGGGATTATTAATTAACACCTACATTTTATTTGCTCACAAAGTACTCCCTAATAAAAAGCAGTTATTTTTAACCATACATTTCATTGCATTTAATTAAAGCTCACCATCTGCTCCTTTTATTACTGCATCTAAATGAGGAAATGCGACTAATTTCATGTGGTACGTCAGTCGAACTTTGCCAGCTAAATCTATTGTTAATGCAGGTCTTACAGAATGTTTGAACTCCTTCATTTAGAGTTTTAAACATTGTGTTTACCTCTCGTCACGACTCCCTCCAGATGAACGACATTAGGATGGTCAAATTGTCCCATAATGCTGGCTTCACACAGGAAGTCACGCCTCTGCTTCTCAGTGTATCCCACTTTGAGTGTCTTGATGGCAACTGACACATCCCGTTTTCCAGGCAGCTTCAGTCGGCCACTGCACACCTCTCCAAACTCTCCTGCGTGAGGTGAAACTTCATGAGTGAGGTGGAGAGTGGGTACAAAAAAACGAAGAAGCAGCACTTCAAGATGACAAATTTATTAGTGTATTTTGAGACAAAGCAGCTGTGCAGAGCAGGAATACAAATTGGAGTGTGACACCTTGTTATACTCAGGGGAATGCAGCCCACACCTATAATAAGACATACTAGAGATGCATAGATACTGTCATTGACCGCCTCTGTAAAACCCATGTGGCAGCAATTTTTCAGCTGTGGGTAGCGCTGTGATTGCCTCTACCAAATGTAGCCCACACATTAATTGCAATGAACTTTTTTCCCCTCTTTGCAATTGCTCCATCAATACACGATGCATAAAGCTGTGTCCCCATTCAAGGTGTAAATATTTGGTTGTCAGTGTGATATACGAGAGCACCGACTGACTAAACACAAAGAGCTGAGAGACATGGGATGGGCTCACCTGCTCCAATAACCCGCTCGATTTTAATGCAAGAGGCATCCAGCTCCTTGGCAAATTGATGGACAGCCCTGTTCGGGTCCTCGTAGGTTTCGGGGTCAATGTAGGTTTTGGTGCCTGGAAATTTAACTGTAGAAAGGTAAGAGGATTACTGTTAATGATTAAATATGCACACTGCGCACCAGCGGGTGCTTGACAGGCAAACGATTGGTAAGGCCAGTGAGTCAGAGGGAATTGCTGAGCAGTCAGCGGCTGGTGTCAAAAAAGGGAAGCTAAGATTTGAGTAACCTGTGCGTTGTGCTTTTTATGAGGTTGTTGGTTACATTTCACCTCTTTGCAGAGACCGGCTGTATTCAACTCGGTGCTTTTCTATCCATGATATCATTCTATGGATAGCGGGGTATTTTTATGTGTGATTGAGTGGGTGCGGGGCTATCCCACTCTTAAATCTCCCATCAGTTTGCTCATAACAATAAGCTTTATAGCCAACAGTGAGCACGTTTTGTTTTGGGGGGTTTTGCATGTATTTGAATTTTTTGACCCATTTTTGAAGTTCTGCAGTTGCTAAATGACATTGGTTTTCAGGGTTCAGGAATTTATCAAAGAAATTTAAGTGTCTTTATTTTGGACTGTATAATTTTCAGACTGATAAGCAAAGGTGTTTATTTATGTATTTATTTTATTTATAAGGAACCCCATTAGCTTCCACAATAGTGGTCTTTCTGGGGCCCAAGCGATGAAGTATGATCTAATACAGCATTACACAGTAAAAAAGTAGATTAAAAAAATATCCACATCATTTGGCTCTTACAGCCACAGTGAGGTTTTGTAATTGTAAAAATATATGTTACAATGTTATTGATATTAGGCACAATACACAAGAATAAAAAACAGGTCACAACACTGGCCTCTTACAATATTTACAATAATTAAAAACTGTGTAAATAGACTTTATTTTATTTTTTTACATTAGGAATAGTAGCTTGTTCTCTAATTGCATAAGCCAGTTTATTCCACGTAAAAGATGCTCTAAATATCACAGTTTTTCAAAACGTTACTTTTGGCTTGAGGAATTACTATATTGCGCTTTTGTTAAAAATCATATATTTCATCTGGATACTGCAGCTGAGCAGAGAAAAAATGTGGTGTGTTTAACAGTGTTGCTTTCTTTATAAATAAAAGTAAGCCGTAGTGTAATTTAGCTTGTACTGGAAGCAAAAAAAGTTTATTATGCATTTGATCCAATACTGGTATAGCATGAACATCCTAACACTAATCTGGCTGCCTTACTCTGGACTAACTGAAGTCTGTTAAAGTCGGTCTTATTAGCTGCTGACACTTCTGTTTAGACCTATCACAGTCCTAATGCTGATATCCATGTTAAAACGTTTAATCTTTAATTATGATGGATCTCAATTTTGTAAATTTTTGAACGACATCTTATTGACTTTACCCACGACCAAATGGATTTAAAACTGAGGTCTAGATTTAGCACTACATATCTCTATTATAGCCCTAATCCCTAAACACCCTTAAAGGCCAAAAACTGCATATTCTAACTCAAGTTAAGGATTTGGGATTAGGGCCATCATTGATAATTAGAGTAACAGTAAACTTACCAAACCATATGTTAGAAATGTAAAGGATGTTTTGTAAACAAATGTAAATAAATTTGTTTTTGTGGTAAATTTATTAAACAATTTTTTAGAGAAGTACTTCGGTTTAGAGGTACGTCAGGTGATTAAGGAACTTGGATGATATCCCAAATCTAAACCCTTACCACCAGGACTTAAAGAATATACTTAGGTAAGTTACTGAAACTGGACCACTTGAAATAAATATCTGGGTCTTCAAGTAGGTCAAATCAAACTACATATAATGTGTTGTTTCAAACTAGCTTGCTATGAGCTGCCTAATTTCATATAAAGTTCCCATTTCAAATGCAACTATACCATATAAAGGTCACCCAAACCAAAAATAGACATACAAAGACGTATTAATATTCTGGAATGAGTCTGCCCACCTGTAGAGATCTTCTAACAGTATGAAAATTGTTGAAATATATATATTTTTAAAATGCTCATCACCTTTTGCTTACATAGTGTCTCCCTATAACAGTCTTAATGAATTTTTGCTGCTACCCTGACAACTTGTCTCTAGGCTGGAAAATCAGTCGATCAATTTTTTTTTTGATTTGACAATGCACAATGACATGCTTTGAAAAAGACAATAGAAAAGAACATCAAGGAAAGATGAGATGGTAAAGAACTGATGCAAATGAAACATTTTCCATCATAAGAAATGAATGAAGCTAAATGAGATTTTGAGACAGGTTTGCTACTTTTGTTAGACTCTGGCACCCTAGGCATTTGGGAACGTCTTAAAATTAACTCTGTGCAATTCCCAACATCAGTGATAAGGGAACGGTTCATGAATATCCATTACGTAAGACCAAAAACAGTTTGTTGGAAATAAATCAAACAAAACAAGGTTAGGGAGAGGACGGGGGCAGGGAGGGGGTTACTATTTCAAACAGCTCTCCAAATTAACAGTAAATTACAATATTATGCACTATTAGGTTAACAGACCACTTTTGGGGGTTGTTACAGTGTGTATTTGAAATTTATGCTGATAACAACATAACCTGTCAACTTAAAAAATTTAATGAGACACTACAGCTATAAGACTCTGGTCAAAAACAACACAACAGCACAACGAGCACATTCAATCGGAGAGACAATTATTCTCTGAAAAGCAGTCTATTCAATGCACCAGTGTAAATACAGCTAAAGCATTGTGCTCCGGCAAGGGGACACCAGCAGCTGAGATTTCCCTCGACTTGCTCGGATAATTGCTTCGTCCATCCAAGACGTCTGGGATCTGATAGGAGATGTCTTATCATGACTTCCTCGCCTCTTCATGGCAGACAAATTGGGTCTACATGTTGGATTTATGTGCTATCTAGCTTCTCTGTCACCCTGGAAGTCTCCCGTCATTTGATATTGCACAGATCTTGTCCATTAAGCCCAAATCTAGCATTGTTTGTATTTTCTCCCAGTGCTTTTTCCCCTGGCAGGTTGGGTTGAGCTGTGATCTGTTCAGGTGGATCTATCAGATACTTAGCAGTAGCCAACCTAGAACTGCTTCTGCTCTAGCAATGCACTTAGTGACACCCCTGACCCTTTGTTTCCAAATCAGCAGTTTGCCTACAGCGCAGATCATTATGGTTCCACTTGGGAAAGCTGTCTGCAGCTGGAGCTCCAGGGTTATTATTAGGGGTGGTGTATCAGTTTTAAAAAAAAATACCTAAATGATAAAAGCAGCAGCTACAACTGTGTGCACACCAAAAACCCTGTCAACCACTAAAACCACCTGCCTTATGGTTACATTTTTAAAGGACTCCCTTTTGTATGCTTGTCAGTCCTTTTATCCCTGCCTGGCAGCTGTCAGATTCATGTGTTTTTGGCCCCTGACTTCTTTATCTCAACAGGCTGAGTCTGGCAAATCAGCAACAGATTTTGCTTGATAGATGAGTTGGGATGAAACAGACATGCCTCGAAGTGCTAAAAGATTTTAAGGCCTAGACATCGATGCAATATTTGTACGTGCGTGTGTGTATACCATCTACATACAGGTGCTGTAAGTGTGTTTGCGGATAAGGAATGCAGGCACTCACACTGGAAGTAGAGCTCCTCATCTCCCTCCTGATCAGCTTTGCTGTACCCGCAGTGCCTGTACAAGCGGAAGACGAAGAGAGCAGCAGAATCAACTGATTGTGCAGAGGAAATAAATGCCCTAATTTACAAGAATTTTAATGCAAGACAAATCCCTCAAGAAACCCAGCTGAGCAGCAGGAGCTGTGAACCCAACAGCCTCAACTAGGAAAAGTAGCTAAAGCATCTAATCATGTAAGATATCCAATAATACATGCACTGTAAAGTACTTTTCAACACGTCTTGCAATATTAACGTGTTGAAGGTTCCCTTAAGCAAGTGATTTGCTGGACAAGGCTGGTCTTTGTGAAAAAAGGTGAATGACATAGGAAGATTAAATAAGCCACAAATGATGGACATGCACTTACTGTGGATGAAAATGCTCACGTATGTAGCAAAGCATGTCTCCTTTGTTTCTACTACATGTTTTAAGATTCGAGAATTTTTTTCTGTCTAAAGTGAAGTATTTTGGTTCGTCCGTCTCCAAATTCAAGGAAGACTTCTGATCTTTTTGACATGCTTTATCCAGAAATGGAGTATGCTACTCAGAAATGGTGTTAGATGGTCTTATTCACGTTATGTATGTTGTGAGTAGGTTTAAGTGGAAATTATTTGTCACACATACATAGTAGGACATATGTTGATGGGACATTCTGAGCCTTAGCAGTCTCATAAAGCTTGTATTGTTTGTTGCTTTTTTGAGACAAGAGATATTGAAGGAGCTTACACAGAACATCCCAAAGTAAAAGTACCAATTTATGTTGTGCACATGCCATGTTCAGCAGAATCCTGTGGAGACTTCACTACTTAACATTCCACATCCACATCATGTCTTTTATCCTGCCTTCCTTCTCTCTCCCTAACTGGGCACGGCAGATAGCTGCCCCTCTCTGAGCCTGGTTCTGCCGGAGGTTTCTTCCTGTTAAAAGGGAGTTTTTCCTTCCCACTGCCGCCAAAGGGCTTGCTCATTGGGGGTCATATGATCGCTTGAGGCGACTGTTGTTGTGATTTGGCGCTGTATAAATAAAATTGAATTGAATTGAATTGAATTAGCATTTAACAGCAAACCTCTTAGGCCTAGCGGTCAGGCTGCATTTCAGGCAACTACTAAAAAATCAACACAGTTTCCAAAACAACAGTTACAGCTCCAACACATAAACATTGGTACCTTTTAAATCAAGTTTCAGAGACTTGGAGGTAGGGACCTATGTTACTATCTGCTCCTCAAATAGTTCAAAATTTAAATAATTCATTAATTGCAACAACTCTATAATGATATTTTAGGTAGCATGTGGCAAAGACACAACTCTGAAGATGGTGTTTTATACAGTGACCTGAAGCAGCGATTATTTATGTATTTATTTTATTTTTTATGCTTTTTCTTATACAAGCAAAAGGAAAAAATAATTATGCTCTGTATCTTGTAAAACACATATTTCTAACAATGTGACTTACTCATCGGTATGTTTTCATATATTGTATATAGTTAAAATAATGACATATGACTCGACTGAAGATGTATGAACTAACTAACTTCATTAGTACTTAATAGTATGACCAACAAAGTTATAATAATTAAAAAAATATTTTAAAAAGAAACCTTTAGTTTTGCAAGCAATGGGGGATGCTCTCATGAATATCATTTAACGGTTTAATTCATTTGCATCACTAATGTGATGCACACAGAAAGGGTGATGTTACCACAGTCAGAGCTCACTTTATTAATGTCATGTAAAATCATGCTGATTCTACCTGTGAGCGCTGAGCCACTTTTTTTTTGACACAAAAAGCCCACCTTGGATTAGAATGCTCCGATTCTGATGAATCCATCATGAATCATGGATGAAATTCCACTTGTATAGATGAAAACAGATAAAATGTGTGAGGGAATGGTGATAATGACAGTGGACTGGGTGCTTTGTGATGGTGGAAAAAAACATCAGCACCATACTTCATTTTGCCCTCAGGATTTTTCATACACTCACACACAGGAATGCAGAGCCAAAGCTTTCTCATTGTTGAGTGCTTGTTTCATAATGGTACTGCAAAAAATAGCTTAAATTTTGTTTAGAGTGGAAAAAAAAGAAAAATGATGCCTCATAGCCCATTAGCACAGCATGCCACAAGATGACGGGTGGATGTGTGTGTATGCGTGTGCACTGTGTGTGCGTGCGTGAGTGAGTGACGACTCCACTGGCGTGGAGGTCTTGTGAGTGACAGAAAAGCTAATTGACAAGCGCAGACTCACAGGAGCGGAGAGTCAATGGGGCCCGCGAGAGCGTACCTTCTCCCGATGATGAAGCCAAACACCATGAACACCAGTATGATGGTCCCCGCCACGGCCACCACTGCAATGATGATGACGGGGTTCTGCTCACTAGAGACGATTGCAGCTGATGAAATGGACACACACACCAAAGAAAAACGGAAACACTTTGAGTGAACTTCAGCACATCAGACTACAATCTGCAGGACATTTGGTAATTGAGCCCATTGAGTAGCATGGAGATTGATAACGTGCCCCACCCCCCACCCTTTTCCTAACCTCTGAGAGAGTGGAAGAGGGACGTTTCTATTTTTGAGCTGTCCTTATACACACGGCTCTACTGTTTCAGAAAGTGGGCTTAATAGTCCCAGACGGCGACAGCGATGCCCTTCATCTCAAACAAAGACACATTCAGGTTGAATTGTTTCCCATGCACAGCTCTCACTGTGCTCAGACAGTTTGCACTGACAAACTGGTGAGTGCAATCGTAAAAAGAGGATACTTGTGCATTTCAGATCAAGTGGGTCCGCACTGTGTAAATACTGAGAAATGCAGTATCAGGAAAAAAGTGGAAGCTATAAAAAAATCTGTCATGTGCCTTTTGTCCAATCAAAAATCAATATTAGCAATCATCTATTTGGAGAAGAATTTTACTGTCATATTACACACTTGCAGGTTTTCCTCTGGAAGCTGTGGTTCACTGTCTCGGTCAAGGACATTATCACAACCATGCCTAGACTGCAAACTTCTAACCTTGATACAGGACACACTCGGCATGTGGTTATGAGTAATTAACGTGTCCTTTTATGCAGAAATGTTGGATGTAAAATGGGCAAGGGTGTAATTTTGGGTGAACAGGCTGGATGGTAGATCTCAAAACTAAAGAGAAATTAATGCAAGCAGAGGATTAAATGCGGAAAAAACTGAAACTTTGTTTTTGGGTACTTTTTAAAAAAAAGAAAACAAAAAGGAAAAAAAAAAAGAAGAAACAATTCAAGCTTTATTAATGCTAAAAAAAATAAAATAAATATTTACATACTCCAACATTTTGGGTTGCCAAGAAAATCCCTTGGGCAGTTACAGAAAGAGCAGTGTGCCTGCTTAATTTCGGAAAACACGTTAAAGATCCAATATCCATTTATTGTGTTATTCCGTAACAACTCCTTCATTAAAGATTTATTCAAATTCATAACCGCTAATAACTTCCAAACTATTGCTGCTGCTGTTTAAAAAGCATATCATTTGTTCTTTAATATTATAGTAAATTTATAAATATCACAAAAAAAAAAAAAAGGGCATTAACAGTAACCCGGCAATGTTTCTATGTCAACAGAAGGGATTGCGACCTTACCTCGTGTACGTCTTTCACAAAATTGTATAACGCCAGACTTTCAATAACACACTTTAAAACTCAGGGCTGAGCTAATGTAATGTGTTTATCCTCTCGACACTACAGCAGTTTGTCGTTGTGCTTAGCGATTTTTCCCACGATGTGTTGTCAGCATAAAGTCAAAGCAATTTGTGTTTGCATTGCTTGAAAGCAACTAATTTCCCTGGGCTATTACTACAGTAGAAGGAAATATTAACAAGTTGTGCCTAAATATTTGAGTGGGGAAAACTGTGTTACAGCCACAGAGTCCCATCTTATAAAGCTCACGCTGAATATTTTCGTCATTAGGTGTTTTGAAATAGGTTTGTTCGACACACCCAAAACATCTTTTTTGACTCTAATAGGGATCTCAGACTTAATCAGAGAAAATCATAAACTCACCATGAAACTAGAGATTAAAGGGTGCTGGGGGTCATTTTTACTATAGAATTCCATACAATCTGTATAACATTACCAAAACAAAAAGACAGGAGTTGCCCCCTGCTGGCCGTTAGAGAGAATGCAGGTTTCACACACTTCCGTAGCGCCTTCACTTCAGACTGAAAATCTATCTTTTGTTTACAGTTAGTGCACTGCTGTGGCCCAGCATCAGTTAAACTGGAGTCATACTGCTGCGCCTAACTAAACCACATACTGCTTCCGCCCACATGGATCGATGCTTAACCACAATTAAGTGTAAATTTATTAATTAATTATTTTTAATATTTGATTTTTTTTTTACCTTTGTTATACAGGAAAGGAGGGCTGACAGAGAAAGAATGTGGGTGACTGACACATGCTTAAACCCAGGCCTCTGCAGTAATTGTTGGTATGTAGGTCACCTAATCAACCAGGTGAGCTACTGTGGCACCCTATGTGGTTCATTTTGATCTAAAATAAAGTAATAAATTGTGCAAACCTAATTGCCATTTATCACATTCTTATATCACCCTATAAATGTTGCTAAAGTAACACAGAGAAGATGAGAGTCCTCATTGGTGAGGGCCCTAAAGCTAAATCTATGCTATCAGAATATGTAGTTTTTGTGTTTTTTATTGTATAATTGCTCTTCCAACTCTTGGCAATCAGGGAAAAATAGCCAGTGATACAAACATCACCAACTATTTAAATCAGGGGTGTCAAACTCAAATACACAGTGGGCCAAAATTCAAAACTGGAACAAAGTCGCAGGCTAACATTAATATTTATTGAAATATATTTATTCCTCCAGATATAAGAATGAATCTTTTCTTATGGACTCAAACACGTTTTGCTGAAAAACTGAATATGGAACAAGCAAAGCTTAATACTAAACAATATATATATTAGCTGTATAATACCAGTAGGCCAGCTCTAATAGTAATTTGGTATGGCTTCATGGGCCAAATGTAATTAGTCTGTGGGCCAAATTTGGCCCGCGGGCCAGAGTTTGACACCTATGATTTAAATTGTTTCCAAAAGGAAAAAAGTCATGTTTACTTGTCTCCAAAATATTGGTGTAGTCTTATAGTGAGGATTTATCCTTCAGGGTGAAAACTTCACCATAGCTTTATCATAATCGCAAACTCCACCACAACTTAACGTGATGTGCACCCCCCGATTAATGTACTAACTAACTAACTACGACATAAACAATCATAAACAAAGATTGGGGACCCAGGCAGGAAAAAAGTCCAAGCATTATATTTGTTTCAGTACATAAAATACCAGGACAAGACCATGACTAGGCCGCTTACATAAATTAGGTCATAGACTCTATAAAGATTCACTGCCTTGGAGTGTTAGTCCTTGTGATGACTTGATTAAGCAATGGGCAGTCTTACCAACTAGAAAAAAAAGTTATCAACTGCCAGAAAGTTTTATTCTAAGTTTTAAAGTCAGGTACTCTAAATTGCTACACTTGAGTATCGCAAAAAGTGAAATATGGTCAGCATTAATACTTCAGGAATATGGTGAAATCTAAGGAAGTTATAGAGGACAGCCTTTATTTCTACTTGCAATGATTATTACGGTACAACAATGCATAAAACTGTAAAGCATGGTGACAGAAACACTAAGCCCTACCTGTGGCCTCTTCCTTGGTGGTTATCTCTAGTCTAGGCCCAAAGGTGCCATATCCTGCTTCTGTGAAAGCCCTAATCTGGAACACATAGGCTGTGCTGGGCTTTAGGTTGTTCACCGTAGCTGATGTGGACTTTGACCTCACAGTAGAGTAAATCCGGTCCTTCTGATCCTGCACAGGAAAGAAAAAGGTAATTTTACCCATTTTATATAGTATAAGTTGTCTTTATTAGCATTTTGAAATGCTTTCACATTACTGCTGATGACATTTACATTCAAATTTACGTGAGTCACAACTTTTTAAAATGACAAAGTTAAGGCAAATGAAGCTTATTAATAAGAATAATCAGTGACTGAGTTATATCACTGTAGTTTTAGCCTGGCCTTTGTTACGACTTTCAGAATTTATGTCACGAAAATGGTGAACATCACATTTTTCTGATTGTAGATTCTAGAAGACAAAAAGTTCTAACTGAAATCATTATCTACCATTAGGCAGCATGCCTCGAGGAGAACATAAAGGCATCTGAAAATATCTTTTCCATCAAGGAATACATTTGGATTCACAGGCTGCACGCGCTGTGTGCTTTGCTGTTGATCTGTAAATGTTTTGCTCAGCAAAAGCCCAAATGGAATGCCAGGCTCTGTTACGGGTGCGGTCATTTCTTCCAACTTTCCACTTTTACAGCTGGGCAGACCACAGCCATAGTACGTGACACAGAAGACTGATTCGTCAGTGTACACAAGAGACTGCGGCCAGCAGGACTGACATCAGCGCTCTGCTACTCTGCCTTTGATTTGCTGGGTTAAATTCGCTTCGTTAAACCTCGCAGCAAAAAGCTGATGCGCTCAGACTTGAAACACAGTGAAACAGTAGCATAATCTATGCAGAACGGGAAAGGAGATAACAGTAACAGATTACTAATTCTAGCAGAGCAGCAGCCATGGATTGCGCGTGTGCTAACATGTGTGTGGGGGTGGCTGTGAAGGACTATAGCCTGATTAAAATCTTATGAGCATCTCATTCATTATTGCAATTATGAGACAAAGAAGGTACTTGCAGAATCTTGTGCATTCCACTCACAGCCACGTGCAAACAGAATGCAAAATGAGTTGGAGTGGGCAAAAAAAAGAAATGGTGCTTCGGGAAGAGACACAGACAAACAAATGTAGCGCAAACTTACTTTTTCATAATATTTGATCTCATATTCTGTGATGACACCGTTGGGTTGCTGGGGCTCCTGCCAGGAGAGGTGGACGCTGTGCTGCTGCACTCTCTCTTTGATGACCTCGCTGACCTGGGACGGAGCTGTTTAGAGAAGAACATGTCAATAAGTGCAGGGCAAACCCTCTCAGCATGCACAGGCATAAGGCCAGCCGCAAATGAGCCGCACCAGCTCCTCCACCAACACTCGCAGGCCCTCTGTACATGATGAATATTCACATGGACGCTTCTAAATGTTTACACCTCATGATCAAAATTTCAATTACACCACCAACAGCAGAAGGTGGCATTATTCCAGCCAGGAGAAAACCACGATTTGTAGCTTGTGAATGACAGTTTAGTTCAATTACTCCCAACATTTCTAGTGGAACAAGCAGACACTTACTATCCCTCATGACAGAGCTGTTCAGAAAGCCTCTCAGAGGGAGAGGGGTGTACCTGTAACCTCCTGACACCAGTCATATGCACACCAATTATCTCGGGCTCTTTGCATGACTTATTTTAAGTGTCTGGCTGTCACTTACTGCTGCTACATTTAGTTTTGCTAAACAGTGCACAGAGATTTTTTCAGTTGTTCATGCCAGTAACAAAGGATAAATGATACACACATATGTAGACAGATTTTAAGCTAACTTTTGGGCCGTGTATTTGCTGTACTCCTGCTCTTTCTATATAGTAATGCTGTGGCCTCATCTACAGCTATTGTCCTTCAGGTTTAAAATTCATAAAACCATAGCTCAAACCAGTCAGCTGAAATGTAGCATAAAAAACCGAAAGGGTTTGGGTCAGGTTTTGGAACCGTCATTTCATTAGATCTGTTGATGGGTAAAATATGCTGTGCAAGATGTATCAACACACGCTGACCACTTCACCTTTTCCTTGTCTGGTATTAAACTGCAGTAGAATCAGCTTTTGAACAAAGTTTTCTGTAACGCCGAACGTCTTCTAGCTCAGCAGCTGTGTTTGCAGCTTCTCCTACAGCTTCCATTACCTTTACAGTACATCATTATCATCATTTTGATTATAATCACCGTAATTTTACAGCACTTTTCATAAAGACCCCAGTGAGGAAAAAAGAGGGCAAGCTTTTTGGATTAGCAAGCTTCACCCGGAGGAGATGATGCTTTCAAAAAATATGCTTTCTGCAAATCTGCACTCTAAACAGCCCCAAAATCCTTTCTGTAAACATACGGTAAAATCTTGATGACTCACACTCCTCTAGGGGCAAAACATATTAATTAACACATCTTTTCAAGTTTGAGAAAGCTGCCCTGGGGAAGATTTGAACTGTAAGGTAAAAGCCACCTGTCAAAAGCTGTGGTTGGATTTCTTTGCCTGGTCTTTAGATCAGCAACAAGCTTTGAAATGAAGGAAAAGTGTATGAATGAAGAACAAAGATACAAACTGAAATGTACTTATTGACTTAATTTTTTATTTATGTACAAATGTAACGAAAAACAACAACTGCCTTGCCTTTTGGCTGTTTGTAATATATAAAAAATGCGTAAACCCAGTAGAGACAGTCTCTTCCTGTGAACAAACAGAAGCTGCTAAGTGTCTCTGTCATGCTCAGTGACCCCATGGGAGTTGAACCTCTCTACCTTTAATACAGTCTGACCTTAGATTGTTTTAAGATGACCTGCCACTAATGACTCTTGGTGGATTAAAACCTCATTAGGCCTCATCAGCGCTCCTAACAGTAATGCACAAGACAGCAAACACCCGAGACCTTGTCAAAAACCTGCTGTTGTGACATGTTCCCTCATAATCCACCCAAAACAGAGAAACAATGTGTCTTTTCTCAGCACAGTTAGCCAGTCAAAGGGATGACTGAGCTCTCTCTTACAAGTCACAACAAGCAGTTACTGCTGCCTTGGCTGCTTTCTCTCCCCCCATTCCAATTCTGGTTCAGGTGTATAGGTCTAAAACTATGTTTCTTGCCTGTTTGATTCATCCCCAAGTGTTTTAAGTCTTTATTTTTGACATATTTCAAGTGCCTCTAATAGCGCTTATTTCTTTCTATGATATTTTGAAATGTAACACTATCTGTGACTTTTGTTTTACTTTTATGTTTAAATGCAATCAATAACAAAGAAAAAATGCAATTTGGAGAAATAAACTGGAAAATGAGCAATGATCCATGACTGTATTGCAGGTGGCATGCTGCTGTATGGCTTCCAAATATAGAGAAAACTTTTTGTTGGATGATAATACATCCATCACTCTACAGTGATAAAAATTGGAGAGGCAAAAGAATGTTATTCTTTTGAAAAGAATGTTAAAAGGTTGTTATTCCCTAAACCTCTGTCCAAAGACGTCAGACCTAATAACTCCCATGATAGACTAGTTACACCACAGAGACCGGGTGTCTTAAATGTTTAAACTCTGTGCTTTGAATATCCTGAGATATCCTTTTGAGGTAAACTAAAAATAAATTGGAATCCCTTAATTCCCAGTGTTTATTACACAACTTCACTTGAACAGATGTGCTATTGCAGAGTTTCTTCACTCGTATTCTACAAGTTGGTTGGACTTATGAAATGTCAAAAGGTCAGGAAAGGTCAGGAAAATGGTGACAAGCTGGATCTAATTGGTTGCCTGCAAAGGATATCACCTATAAAGAGTCACATGTGACTCGGGTTAGGGTTAACCACAAATGACCTTATTAATACATACACTCTGCGCATTAATTCCTGTCCTAGTTACATCCATCATCAACACCCATTTGTGTGGATCTTTTTCGTCCATCGTTTGGTAGGAGGAGCTAAAATGGCTCTTTTGATGTTGAAGGTTGTCGACCCCTGGGATAGTTCAACCGTGTGCAAAACTCAGATTTGTTCCAAGGATAGACTGGGCCTCTCTTAATATCAGATGTTATTTACTTTCCCTCTTCTAAAGGGATATTCTCTAAAATGCACTTTTCCTTATGCAGCTTTATAATGGTTTTGGTTATGCAAACCAGGCTCTTGTCCGAGGGTACAAAATATGTAATATGTAACCAAAATATCAAACATGTGCTTAAGTTTTTAAAATATACAGTTCTTGCTGAGAGACAAAGCATTCTTCTCTTCTTCAACTGTGTACTTGTATGAGAGCTGTTATTCTCATGCAAAGGCAGTAATACTGCCTGATCTACAAAGTTAACATAAAGCATGATGAGCTACTTTCCCTCACAGCTTCTTCTCCCTCCAGTATGTGATGTGAGCTCAGGCACTAGATCTGCCCCATTTAGCCCTGTTGGCCTGTGGATGTATTAGCAATTGCTCAGGTCAAGCCCACCTCCTCCTTTACCCTTTCATGGGTGACAGAGAGCTGGGGCCTTATGTTTCCTGAGAGATCATGAGATCAGTGAACAGTATTAGCAAATGTGATGTTCCATGGGCTAAAGGTAATCATTCCACCAGGGTGATTTTCTGAATGATAAAAGAAGTCATTCTGCATTTCTCAGGGATATGAATCCAGACCACAGTTGAACGTTAATTCTAAAGGAAAAAAACATGTTCCTCGGGCTCTGTCTGCCTCCCCCGCGAATCAGTCAGGCGGCACTGTGTGACAGCCATTAATGACTGACTTGATGTCATGGAGACTCAAACCAGCCAGCCACTCTCACACTTTTAGCCTACCTGTGCTGCTTAGCACAGTGGAAAATTGTATAATTGTCATGCCAGTCTTAAAGAGACCATTTTGAAAAGCATTTGTGCATTTATTTTGCAATATTAGAAAATGTGTTAGTGACCCTGAACACCTTCTGAGAAGGTAACTGAACCAGAAGCCAGTCACCACCATGCTCTGAATTTGAATCATCTTATGAATACATTAGACATTGCATTTCTAATATCCTCTTCTTTCATTCCACTATCTAACTTTGAATCTGATGCAAAGAGCAGAGTGGAGGTAGTTCATTACATAAGCGTCTTTATCTGCCTCTATGCTTGCCTCATGGACCATAGCAATCCTAAAAACTCATATATTAATTACTGCCATTTTCAAGATGTGCTTGTGTATCTTAACGCCTACGGCACCATCTGTGTTGAAATGCAAGAGATTGTTGGTGTTTAGCAGTGTTTAAAAGTTTACAGCAGGTTTTTCTTTTTTTTTAACTGGATATTCTAATGTTGTCTGAAGGGAAAAAGTATTTTCCTGATTCCACAGAAGACAGGGCAGCACGGTGGCACGGTGGTTAGCACTGTTGCCTCACAGCAAGAAGGTCCTGAGTTCAATTCCGCCATCAGGCCGGGGTCTTTCTGTGTGGAGTTTGCATGTTCTCCCCGTGTTTGCGTGGGTTCCCTCCGGGTACTCCGGCTTCCTCCCACCGTCCAAAGACATGAGCTTGTGGGGATAGGTTAATTGGAAAATCCAAATTGTCACTAGGTGTGAATGTGAATGGTTGTCTGTCTCTGTGTGTTAGCCCTGCGACAGACTGGCGACCTGTCCAGGGTGTACCCCGCCTTTCGCCCTATGACAGCTGGGATAGGCTCCAGCGCCCCCCGCGACCCTGAAAAGGATAAGCGGATGGATGGATGGACTTTTTTTTTTTTAACTTTGTGCACCAACTAATGCTAAATAAAAGCATTTACACATGGGTAAAGTTATTTTTTCATCCTTGAAATCTTAGGAATCAATGTGACATATACTTTAAAGTACAGTTCAGCTGACTCTATTCTCCAGCATGTCAAGTGTTTCACACATTGGCAGTAACTGATGCCTTTAACACAATATGTGGGTCTATTCAGTCTCCCTTTTCATCACTGCAGAAACAAATATTTACAGGGCAGCCTTGTTATTACACCAAAGGCTTTTTAACACTTCATCGTCAGCAGCCTGGGAACAAATAACCAGACACAGTTTGGTTCGACACTAACGAGGTATGACATAATCAAGATTAACTCTACTTTATGTTGTGACTCCCGTAACAGAGATAAAAGCGAGTGCCGTTACACATTAGCAGATAAAGAGAAACCAGCTTTTAAGAGCTGATGTTTGCAAATTATCAGAAATATGTCGATTACTTGTTATTGATACAAATCATTAATCTGAAATCGGATTACTGCACATTAAGATAAATGTTGGCTCTAGCTATTGCT